CGACGCTCTTCCGATCTCCCCAAAACCCCAAAACCCCATTTATCAAAATAATCAGCTAATTCTCATAATCATGTTTGAAATTTAAATCACAAATTTAATCTAGTAATATCTCAAATATTTTACAAATTCATTTAACATATCTCTAAAATGCAAATGATATCTTGTTCAAGATCTCATTATCTTGGCTGCTAAAAGCAGATACTTTTTGATTTGCTTAATAGGATTCAGTTTTCTCTAATAGTGATCGCTTAGGAGATTCAGACTATTTTCTCTTCAATTTTTTCTTTACTGAATCAATGGATGAAGTCAGCAAATCTTAATTCTTTACTTAGAAACCTGTAAACACTCTTATTTCATTAAGAACCTAGATCAGAGCTTGCTTATCAAATGCCTAAGGATTATTTGTATTAAATCTATGAGATTAGCACATTTTCAAATATTGTTTTGAGATAAATTCCTTTCTTTGCTAGTCACTAAGGTCATGATAATATCCACCATCAATAAAAATGTACTAGTTCATTAACTTATAGAATTGATCATAGAAATGTAATAGATGAGTTTGAGCCCCTGATTGACTTGCCTCGCATCTATCATAAACTTGATATAAAGCATTAAATCTGTCTATAGAAAAATATCTCTTATCAAGACTAAGAGCAATTTCAAGTGAGTTAAAGACTCTCAGCTTATTAGTAGTTGTGGATTACAATACATTCTAATCTTCAATATAATGAAGATCTCTTTATAGATGCTTGAGATGATAAATTCGTGGCTATTTGATCTGAACTCCTGATTCTGGTTTCTTTTGTTCTTCTGAATCACCTATATGTTTTAATATCTAATTTTTCTCATCAACACTCACATTTCCCTTCTCTATCTGACTTACTGGCAAATATGCTAGCAAAAACTCAATCTCAAAGTCTGTTACATATCCTTTAAATCCTGTTTCTAAGGCTACTCTAAAGCTATCTTTGCACAAAGATTCTTTATTATTTCCGCCATTCAAGCTAAATAATTTTCTCATTGATCTCGGCATATTTGGATCATAAACCATCATTTTAATCATTAGCAGATAATAGTATTACTTAATGACTTAGTTATCATTGTCCTATTCTATCATATTTAAATTTATTTTAGAACCAACACCTCCTGTCACACTCCCCATTAAACTTACACCACCTGGACTTTATTCAATTTTACGATTAGGACTTGCAGAAATCTATGATTCAAAATCCATTGATTGAAATATATCTATCTTTGATGAAGCTCTTTTCTAAGTTAATTACATTTTAGTTAGTGCTATTTCCAATTCAATCAAAACTCTAACTCTGTCTTTAGCAGTCAACATAAGTTTGTTCTTGTTTTGATTAATATTGGAAAGTAACTAATCAGTATCCAAAAAAGACTCCTGCTCAGAAAACTTTAAAAAATCTGATGAATTAACTCCAAATGCTTCAAGAATAATTAATGATTCCATAAAATAGCCAAGGAATTTCCTCCAATAGTCAGTTTCTTTCCTTATTTTTAGACTTTAGAAAGTCTTTTTTAGGCACTTGTATACATGATTATACTGCAAGAATTCTCTAATGTCAAAATCAGCGCAAATTTAATAATGCACTAATACTTCTTATTTTTACCATTACAATTCCATCATAAATCTGCACATTATCTCATCATGAATGTATGGCCCTTGCTGTACCCTTTAATCAAAACTTATCATTCTGTTGAGCAATTTACTTGCAAACATATTTCCAAGATGATACAATCTACTTTTTGTATTACTATACTCATGACAAGTATGAACCATAAACATTATTTCATTTAAATACCTTTGCCTAGTATTGTTATTGCTATAGGACATCAAATAGCTTATCATATGAGTTTTAAGATGATAAGAAAGTCTGGAGTCTGGATTGACATATTCTGATATGATACTATTGACACGCTCAGTGAATGAAGTTTTTTCTAATGTTCTATCTTTTTTAAATTCTCTCATTATCTGAGCATCAAAGAATTCAAATATACACTTTACTTCCTCTCTACCAACTTCAAGCTTATCTTATTCAAAATACTGCTAGACTTCAATCGGTATCCTTTGTTTTTCATCATCTGTTTAAACGTCTTTTAACTTTTTTAATCGTTCCTTAAGCATAAATTTATTTTTCAAAGGGTCTTCAAAATTAAGCAATTTCTAAAGTCCAAATAATTGTGTAAGTTGTTAGTTATTTATCATGTCTGATTTGTTAAGATACTTTTACATTTGAAAGCAAAAATTAGACATTTATGGATATGTCTCAAGTGCAGATTCCCCCATTAAAATATCCAATTTTTCCTATAATTGTCCCAATTTTTTTTCTAATTTTCTTCTATCTACATGCGATTTCTCTAGTTTCCCTGATATTTCTTCAATCTAATTATAGAGGAAATCAATATGCATTTCTTTTATAGTTTTAGGCTTTGGTTTCGTTAATTCATTAATTTTCCCTTCATAATCATTTTTTTAGGTGGTAATTTTAGTGTTGAACAGTTTAAACATAGAATCAAGCATTTATATCATTAGCTAAAGTACAGGCTCAAAAACAAAGAAGAAACTATGCTTCCCGTTATTTTCAATTTTAGAGTTTAACAATGGTCTTGTTGCATTTAAAATTTCCTTTAAACTATCTGCCACTGTTTCAATGCTGAACCTCTCTTATGATTTGATTGTATTTTACTAATAAAATTTATTATTTATATAAGTTAAAACTTACGAGCCTTTATAACTTTCCTCTGATTGAATATGCCTTATCTGATCTTAGAAAATCAGCATCATATTAGGCTTTATACACATCTATCAATTGTGGCCTAAGATTTTAAAATATCAATTCTAAATCTTCTTTCAAATGAATAAATATATCAAGGCCTTTAATGAAGGTTTTTTGATGATTATACTCTTCAAAATATGATTCCTATAATTGACTGAATAATAATGAGAAGGACTTACAATAACAAAATCTTTTTTCTCCTTTGGTAAATCATAAAATTCATTCTTCATTAACTATGCAATAAATTTTCTTGTTTTCTGGGTTTCAATTTCTGACATTTTCTAATCTAATTCTCTTTGTTTCTAAGAATTATACTTCTAATCAACTAGCAATTATTCATTTTTTATTGGTCTTTCTTTTGATCCCGTTTTTTAGTAGAACTAGAATTTATAGTCTTTTGGTAGAATTTATTCTTGACTTAACTTTCTTATCTTAAACTAATTTGTTTACTGTTATACCTCTCTTGTAAGAGAACCCCTCTCTGTTTGAGGTTCAGCTAAAAACTTCCTATTTTTGTCAATAATATCTTGTGGGGCTCTTCCATATTAAAACTAGTACTTTAGCTTTTTCTCAAATTTACTGTCAATTTTCTTAGTATTCAATTCAAATAATTTTCTTTTCTTTGGATCTTTCGGGAATACTTAAGCGCTTTCATCTGATTCTAATTTAGTTGAAACTTTTCTGAACACCCACTGATCTTTATCTTTATAATTTTCCTCAACAACATCATTGTGCTCTGTTGAAGGCATAAATACTATTTCCTTATCATCAAGTGGATAATTTTTTGTGAGAGAAGATGTCTATATTCCTTCTAAGAAGTTATTTAACTTTCTTTCTGTTTATAGCAATGGTTTTACTAGTTATTCCCTAAGATTAGATCCAATCTTTAAATTTTTAAATTCTGATTTTGGGGATAATCTCTTTGGCGTTCCTATAGCAGTCTTAGGTCTTAATATTTAATTTTTGTGGATTCTCATTAATCCTTCTTTTTTATTTTCCATGATAAAATTTATTCAACAACACTTTCATTTTGATACCTATCTTATTAATACTCATTGATGGGGTTTTGGGGTTTTGGGG